TAGCAGAAATAGAATTAGTAGTACAAGATTCAGTAGTACAATAAGTAGTACTATATTAGTAGAATTAGTAGTAATAGTAGTGGTAATAATAATAGTAATGGCATCAACGGCAACAGCAGCATCAACATAGCATCAGCAGCATCAACATAGCAACAGCATCAACATAGCAACAGCAGCATCAACATGGCATCAGCATCAACATAGCAACAGCAGCATCAACATAGCATCAGCATCAACATAGCAACAGCAGCATCAACATAGCATCAGCATCAACATAGCAGCATCAACATAGCAGCATCGGCATCAACACAGCAGCATCGGCATCAACATATCAGCATCAACATAGCAACAGCAGCATCAACATAGCATCGGCATCAACATAGCAGCATCAACATAGTAGCAGCATCAACATAGCAGCATCGGCATCAACACAGCAGCATCGGCATCAACATATCAGCATCAACATAGCAACAGCAGCATCAACATAGCATCAGCATCAACATAGCAGCATCAGCATCAACATAGCATCGGCATCAACATAGCATCAGCATCAACATAGCAGCATCAGCATCAACATAGCAACAGCAGCATCAACATAGCATCAGCATCAACATAGCAGCATCAGCATCAACATAGCATCGGCATCAACATAGCATCAGCATCAACACAGCAGCATCAGCATCAACACAGCAGCATCAGCATCAACATAGCAGCATCAGCATCAACAGCAGCATCATCAACATAGCATCAGCATCAACAGCAGCATCAGCATCAACATAGCAGCAGCAGCATCAACACAGCAGCAGAAAATTATCATTATTAAGGTGGACTTGACTGTATTAATGTCGCTTTTAGAGAGTTTAACCTAGGTCCTGTTTCAGAATCGTTACTAGTAAAGCACAGACCTGGTCCGGGACTAGATCGCGGGGGCGCTGACCCCCTGAAAAATCCTTCTGGTAACCTGACAGCCTCTCTGATTCACCTGTAACAACATCCTACCCTCCATAATTATCCTGTACACATATGTAATCTCTTACCTATATTTCGCCTACCCCCCTCCCCCCTCTGTGTGTGTGTGTGTGTGTGTGTGTGTGTGTGTGTGTGTGTGTGTGTGTGTGTGTGTGTGTGTGTGTGTGTGTGTGTGTGTGTGTGTGTGTGTGTGAGAGAGAGAGAGAGATACCGTAAATGCATACTGTTATATCTCGCACATTATTAGTACGATAACAGATTTTAACAGAGAAACGGGGGGCTGTTTTCAAATACAAATCGCCTCTAATATTAAGTACAAATCATGGCCTACGATATCAAGTAGAAATCACTGTCCTCAATACCTGGAGGTTACCTGGAGGTTATTCCGGGGATCTACGCCCCCGCGGCCCGGTCCATGACCAGGCCTCCCGATGGATCAGGGCCTGATCAACTAGGCTGTTACTGCTGGCTGCACGCAGTCCAACGTACGAGCCACAGCCCGGCTGATCCGGCACTGACTTTAGGTATCTGTCCAGCTCTCTCTTCAAGGCAGCCAGGGGTTTATTGGTAATTCCCCTAATGCTTGATGGGAGGCTGTTGAACAGTTTTGGGCCCCGGACACTTACGGTGTTTTCCCTTAGTGTACCAGTGGCGCCCCTACTTTTTATTGGCGGCATTTTGCATCGCCTGCCCTGTCTCTTTACTTTCGTAGGGAGTGATTTCTGTGTGCAGATTTGGGACCATTCCTTCCAAGATTTTCCAAGTGTAGATTTATGATATATCTCTCCCTCCTGCGTTCCAACGAGTACAAGTCAAGTGCTTCCAAGCGTTCCCAGTAGTAAAGGTGCTTGACAGAACTTATACGTGCAGTAAAGGATCTCTGTACACTCTCTAGATCTGCGATTTCACCTGCTTTGAATGGAGATGTTAATGTACAGCAGTATTCCAGCCTAGAGAGAACAATAGTGATTTGAAAAGGATCATCACTGGCTTGGCATCTCTCGTTTTGAAAGTTCTCATTATCCATCCTATCATTTTCTTTGCACGTGCAATCGTGGCACTGTTGTGATCCTTGAAAGTGAGATCCTCAGACATTACTACTCCAGGTCCCTTACATTATTTTTCCGCTCTATTGTATGGCCGGAGTCAGTTAGTATACTCTGTTCTAGTTATTATCTCCTCCAGTTTTCCATAACGGAGTAGTTGGAATTTGTCCTCATTGAACATCATATTGTTTACCGTTGCCCACTGGAAAACTTTGTTTATATCTTCTTGGAGGTTAACCGCGTCCTCGGCAGATGACAGCCTCATGCAGATCCTAGTATCATCCGCAAAGGATGATACGGTGCTGTGGTGTATATCTCTGTCTATGTCTGATATGAGGATAAGGAATAAGATGGGGGCGAGTACTGTGCCTTGTGGAACAGAGCTCTTCACTATGGCAGCTTCCGATTTAACTCTGTTGACCACTACTCTTTGTGTTCGATTTGTTAGGAAGTTGAAGATCCATCTCCCCACTTTCCCAGTTATTCCTTTAGCACGTATTTTATGGCTATTACGCCATGATCGCATTTGTCAAATGCTTTTGCAAAGTCTGTGTATATTACATCTGCATTCTGATTTTCTTCCAGTGCATCCAAAGCCATGTCATAGTGATCCAGTAGTTGTGAGAGGCAGGAGCGACCTGCCCTGAACCCATGTTGCCCTGGATTGTGGCAGATTTTGGGAATCCAGGTGATTTGCAATCCTGCTTTCTTAGCACTCTTTCAAAGATTTTTATGATGTGGGACGTCAGAGCTATTGGTCTATAGTTCTTAGCTAATGCTTTGCTGCCACCTTTATGGAGTGGGGCTATATCCGTTGTTTTAAGCGACTGTGGAATTTCACCCATGTCCAAGCTCCTCCTCCATAGTGTACTTAGGGCACGCGAGAGGGGTTTCTTGCAGTTCTTAATGAAAACAGAGTTCCACGAGTCTGGGCCCGGGGCTGAGTGCATAGGCATGTTGTCCATGGCTTATTCGAAATCTATCGGAGTTAGGGTAATGTCGGAAATCTGGCATACATTTATGGAGTTTTGAGGCTCATTCATGAAGAAATCATTTGGGTCGCCGATCCTCAGACCGATTAGTGGTTCACTAAAGACAGAGTCGTACTGGGATTTCAATATTTCATCTTTTCCCTTTTGTCATCTGTGTAAGTCCCATCCTGTCTGAGTAAGGGCCCAATACTAGATGTGGTATTTCCCTTGTTTTTGGCATATGAAAAGAAATATTTTGAATTTTTTTCAATTTCATAATAGCTTTAAGCTCCTCCTGCCTCTCCTGGTTCCTGTAAGAGTCATTTAGCTTAAGTTCGATAGTTTCCACTTCCCTGGTCAGCGCCTCCTTTCGTTTATCAGATATTCTAGCACTCCTGAGGAGGTCAGTGACTCTTCGTCATCTTCTGTAGAGGGAGCGTCTTTTTCTCTCCAGTTTACTCTGCCTTCTTCTTTCTTAGGGGAATATGCCTAGAACATGCTTCGGCTGCCAGGAAGTTGATCTTTTCAAGGCACTGGTTTGGATCCATGTCATTTAAGACATCTTCCCAACATGTTTCGTTTAGGGCATGGTTTACCCGGTCCCAGTTGATGTTCTTGTTGTTGAAGTTGTATTTTGTGAAGACACCTTCACAGGTACATGCATTCTGCTGATCAGGACCTCTATGCATGTACGTCTGAACTTCGATTAGGTCGTGATCGGAATTAGTTGTTTTTGATATTCCTGTGTCTCTTATCAGGTCCTCATTATTTGTGAAGATAAGGTCAAGTGTGTTTTCTAGTCATGTTGGCTCCACTATCTGCTGGTTTAAGGTGTGTTTATTGCAGAGACTTAGTAGCTCATGTGTGTGTGACCTTTCATCTGCGCTACCTCCGGGGATTGTTTCAGCTATAACATTATTTGCTACATTCTTCCATTTTGTATGCCTAAGGTTGAAATCACCAAGCAGTAAGATGTTTGGGGATGGAGCTGGAAGGTTTTCCAAACAGTAATCAATTTTCAGTAGCTGTTCCTTGAACTGTTGTGAGGTTGCAAATCATATTATTACAGTGCTACAAGAGCCACAAGTGGATGAGTAAGGCGCATGCAACAATAAGGGACTGACCACCATGTATCACAGCCGAGTCACTATCATCTTAACATTACCTCTCCATATCTCTCTGCAGCATTGTAATCATCTCTGTATTCCACTGACGAAGCCTGAACAAGCGAACACAAGACCATTGTAGCGGCGCTCACTACTCTGCAGTGGTGCTCACTACACTGCAGTGGTGCTCACTACACTGCAATGGTGCTCACTACACTGCAGTGGTGCTCACTACACTGCAGTGGTGCTCACTACACCGTAGTGGTGCTCACTACACTGTAGTGGTGCTGACTATAGTGCTCACTACACTGTACAGTAGTGGTGCTCACTACACTGAACATAACACTGTGCAAGTGATACTACACTGAACCTAAGTGTACAGTAGTGATACTACACTGAACAACATAAAAGTGTATAGTAGTGATACTACACTAAACATAACAGTGTATAGTAGTGATACTACATTGAACATAACAGTGTACAGTAGTGATACTACACTGAACAACATAACAGTGTACAGTAGTGATACTACACTGAACAACATAACAGTGTACAGTAGTGATACTACATGAACAATAATAACAGTGTACAGTAGTGATACTACACTGAACAACATAACAGTGTACAGTAGTGATACTACACTGAACAACATAACAGTGTACAGTAGTGATATTTCATGAACAACATAACAGTGTACAGTAGTGATACTACACTGAACAACATAACAGTGTACAGTAGTGATACTACACTGAACAACATAACAGTGTACAGTAGTGATACTACACTGAACAACATAACAGTGTACAGTAGTGATACTACACTGAACAACATAACAGTGTACAGTAGTGATACTACACTGAACAACATAACAGTGTACAGTAGTGATACTACACTGAACAACATAACAGTGTACAGTAGTGATATTACATTGAACTTAACACTGTGCAGTATTGCTCCTCACATACCTTGCCAAGACCCTGGACCTCCTTCGTTCCTATTTTCTTGAGTAGAGCGTGAGGGACGGGCGGAGAGAACTTAGATAAAGCTCCCCGGTAGTCAGTAGGCAGGGCCACACGCTCTCCCCGGCTCTTGGAGCGTCCATCTCTCCTTCCTGAAGTTTCCCTCTCACGCTCACCCGAGCTTCTCCTCCTCCGTCTTCGTCTCTCTCGCTCCTCCTGTCTCGCAGGCGACGACAAGGAGGTGGGTTGAGAGGCAAGCTGGCTGGCCCTGTGGGGAGGGGAGATACAATCCCGACGTTAAAAGTTGTTACTTCACCACAACTAAGTACATTCCATTGGAAAACACGGCACTGTAACTGATGATACTCAGTTAAGTGAGTACACAGTGTAATAAAAGTAAAGGAATACAATGAGTGGGTGTGCATATTGAGTGCACAGACTAAGAGTGCATAAAGAGAATGCAGTGTGTGCATGGAGAGAGAGTGGAGCAGCCAGGGAGAAAACAATTACAGTCAAGATTACAGTTTAGGGAAACACCACCTTCCGCCTCTAAATTATAAGGTCATGTAAGATGCGTACACAAAAAAGGTGTCCAAATTACAAGGTCACACACGAGGCAAGCCCAAAAAAGGTGGGCAATTTAGGTAAGAGCCTTCAAGTATGGTCATCAGTTTACGCGTGTTAGGCTAATGTATGTTTCTAAGCGGCAACTCTAACCCCGTGACAGCAACACAAAACAAGTGAAGCCAGGAAATTGTCTCGCTGAATTGCACTCGACACCTCGCTTAAAAACTCGATTACAGAGATTTATTATTACTGATAACATCTAAGGTACAAGGTACACCTGTGGTTACCTGCTGGTTATCTGTATTCGCTTCCCGAGGTCACCGCCCCCGCGGCCCACTCCCAGAACAGGCCTCCTGGTTGTTGCCTGATCGATATGAAAATAGTCGCTCAACAAGCTCTACACAAACTTAAGTATCTGTGTAGAGCCTTTCATGGCTTGATGAAAGATCTAGAGAGCGCAATGTTGCCCCATTAAAAAAAAATTCGTCAGGAACAATACAGGAGACAGCCAGACTATGGCACAAGAATGCCAGATTACCTGAAACACGGAAAGCGCTAACCAGGAAGTGGAAAATATTGAGCTAAAGTAAAAGGACTTATACAGGATCCAGTAGAGACAAGAGGAGCTAAAATCGATTATTGAAAGTGAAAGAAATTCGAAATACGTATTTCTTTTCGTATGCTAAAAACAAGGCAAAAACTACAAGACGGATCCTACACAGATGATGACAAAGAAATGAGCGAGATACTGAAATCTCAATATGACTGTGTTCAGTGAGCCACTAATCAGTCTAGAGATAGACAATCCAAACAATTTTTTCATGAATGAGCCTCAAAACCCTGCCAATGTAGGCCAGATTTATGACATAACCCTAACTCCACTAGACTTTGAGAAAGCCATCGACGACATGCCCATGCACTCAGTCCCAGGCCCAGACTCGTGGAACTCTGTGTTCATTAAGAACTGCAAGAAACCCCTCTCGTGGGCCCTAAGCATGGTATGGAGGAGGAGCTTAGACACAGGTGAGATACCAGGCATTGAAAACAACGGATATAGCCCCACTCCATGAAAGGGGCAGCAAAGCAATAGCTAAGAACTATAAACCAATAGCTTTAACGTCCCACATCATAAAAATCTTTGAAACAGTTCTAAGAAGCAGGATAGCAAGCCACCTGGACTCCCAAAAATGCACAACCCAGGGCAACATGTTTCAGAGCAGGTCGCTCCTGCCTCTCGCAACTACTGGATCACTATGATATCGTCTTAGATGTACTGGAAAACAAACCGAAGGCAGATGCAGTACACACAGATTTTTGCAAAAGCCTTTGACAAACGCGATCATGGTGTAATAGCACACAAAATGCGTGCTAAAGGAATAACTAGCGAAGTAGGCAGATTGATCTTCAACTTTCTCACCAATCGAACACAAATAGTGGTTAACAGAGTTAAATCGGAAGCTGCCATAGTGAAGAGCTCTGTTCCACAAGACACAGTACTCGCCCCTATCCTGTTCCTTATTCTCATATCAGACATAGACAGATGTAAACCATAGCACCGTATCATCCTTTGCAGACACTTTGGATGACACACATTGCACGAGACTGTCATCCATTGAGGACACGGCAAATCTCCAAGATATAAACCAAGTTTTCCAATGGGCAACGGAGAACAATATGATGTTCAATGAAGACAAATTCCAACTACTCCGTTATGGAAAACTGGAGGAAATAATAACTACAACTGAGTATACTACAAACTCTAATCAAACAACAGAGCAGAAAAGTAACGTGAAGGACCTGGGAGTGGTAATGTCCGAAGACATCACCTTCAAGGACCACAACAATGCCACTGTAACATCTACTGATAGGATGGATAATGAGAACATTCAAGACAAGAGATGCTAAGCCAATGAAGATCCTTTTTAAATCACTTGTTCTCTCTAGGTTGGAATACTGCTGCTACATTAACATCCCAATTCAAGGTAGGTGAAATTGCAGAACTAGAGAATGTACAAAGAACCTTTACTGCACGTATAAGTGCCATCAAACACCTTAACTACTGGGAACGCCTGGAAGCACTCGACTTGTACTCACTGGAGCGCAGGCGAGAGATATACATCATAATCTACACCTGGAAGATTCTGGAGGGACTGGTTCCTAACCTGCACACAGCAATCACTCCCTACGAAAACAAAAGACTTAGCAGGCGATGTAACATATCCCCAGTGAAAAGTAGGGGCGTAACTGCTACACTAAGAGAAAACACAATAAGTGCCCGGGGCCCAAGACTGTTCAACAGCCTCCCACCAACCTTAAGGGGAATTACCAACAAACACCTGGTTGTCTTCAAGAGGGAGCTGGACAGATACCTAAAGTCAATACCGGGTCAGCCGGGCTGTGGTTCGTACACTGGACTACGTGCGGCCAGCAGTAACATCCTCGTTGATCAGGCCCTGATCTACCAGAAAGCCTGGTCATGGACCGGACCGCGGGGGCGTTGATCCCCGGAATACCCTCCAGGTACATCATTATAACTCCCACAAGCTAAATATCTATGTCGATTTCTCACAAAGTTTTCAGTTATTTTTCGGTTAAATTGTTCTTTGTCCATAAAGAACAACAATTATAACACACCAGAGCGGGAATCCTAAGCCAGAGGTGAAAAGAAAATTGTGCGGAGGGACGCAACTATGTCAGATTTTCACTGTTTAAGGCGGTGCGTTCATCCATCTCTCTCATTTGCCTTTCTTTGCAACAGTGTTATCAAGAGGGCGAGCTACACAATGGCCCATATTTACAGTCATCCAGTGATACGTACCTTTATACCTAGATTAGATTTTTGCCACCGAAGTGGCTAGTTTATTGTGCACCTCATATCCATCCCATGGACGGTAGCCCAAGAGCATAGGAATACACAAAAGGCCCAGGAACTAGGCCCCAGAAGGATTTTCAGGAGTACATCCGTTATGGAAAACTGGAGGAAATAATAACTAGAAATGAGTATACTACAAACTCCAATCACACAATAGAGAGGAAAAGTAATGTGAAGGACCTGGGTGTAGTAATGTCCGAAAACCTCACCTTCAAGGACCACAACAATGCCACTATCGCATCTGCGAGAAAACTGATAGGATGGATAATGAGAACATTCAAGACAATAGATGCTAAGCCAATGATGATCCTCTTTAAATCACTTATTCTTTCTAGGATGGAATACTGCTGTACATTAACATCCCCATTCAAGGGAGGTGAAATTGCAGAGCTAGAGAATGTACAGAGAACCTTTACTGCACGTATAAGTTCCATCAAACACCTTAACTACTGGGAGCGCCTGGAAGCACTTTACTTGTACTCACTAGAGCGCAGGCGAGAGAGATATATCATAATCTACACCTGGAAGATTCTGGAGGGACTGGTCCCTAATATGCACACAGCAGTCACTCCATACGAAAGCAGAAGACTTGGCAGGCGATGCAACATACCCCCAGTGAAAAGTAGGGGCGTCACTGGTACACTAAGAGCAAACACAATAAGTGTCCGGGGCCCAAGACTGTTCAACAGCCTCCCCACCATCAATAAGGGGCATTACGGGAAGACCCCTGGTTGTCTTCAAGAGGGAGCTGGACAGATACCTAAAGACGGTGCCGGATCAGCCGGGCTGTGGTTCGCACGTTGGATTACGTGCGGCCAGCAGTATCAGCCTCGTTGATCAGGCCCTGATCCACCGGGAGGCCTGGTCGTGGACCGGGCCGCGGGGACGTTGATCCCCGGAATGCCCTCCAGGTAGACTCCAGGTAGACAGTTCACTGTCTTTTATAACTTTGATGAGTTCCGAGAGTTGTTCTACTCTCAGAACCCAGCCTGGGTCCAGACGCAAGTGTTGATACATTTACCAAGCAATGAAAGGACTGTCTTCCCCAGAGATATCACTCATGGTTGGTGTTGCGGTTTCTCTTGTGCGGTTAGTAGACCCGCAAAAAAAAAAAAAAAAAAAAAAAAAAAAAAAAAAAAAAAAAAAAAAAAAAAAAGTTGTGAAGGAGCAAAAAAGGCTAAAAAATTTGCTAACAATGCTTTTACTGCCAGCATTAACTTCCACAACGACTCGTCATGAACAGTTTAAACAACAGGTACGACAGGACCCGCGAAGCCCAAACCCTGTGAATATCACCCACGACAGACTGAGCGGCGGGGTTAAGAGATTTGTTTTAAGCGAAATTGGATACTTCATTACCTGAGAATACTAAGACACAAACAGACAGCGTTTATCTAGCAGCAACCAGCAAAGAGGCGAGGCCAGGAGCTGTGACTACCTCTGCAACCACAAATAGGTGAATACAAATAGGTGAGTGTGTACACACACACGGGGAACATACACTACAAAACAAATAAAACAATCACATTTCTGTATTTATAAAAATCTTTCCTTTCCTCCTCTCCCCTCCACCTTTTTATCTCTCGTCTTACTTCTTCCTTTCTCACTTCCTCTTCTGTCTGAGAACCGCTACACCACTTAACACCTCCCCCCGACACACCCTCTCTTCCTTCCTCCCCCTAACCTACCAACACCATCTTCACACCTTCCATCTCACAATCCTCTGTCTTAATGCTCCCTCCCTCCCCCCGCCATCTTAGCACCTCTGCTTCCTTTTACCCAGCCTACCCAACACAGCCTCTGGCAACTCACACCTTCATTATCGTACT